TCATTTTTGCTTCTAGTTAGTGTGATTTTCCGCGCACTGATCCTCGTCCAAACTTAATTTTTGGGTCTTTCAAAGATTGACTCATAACTCGTAAACCAGACATCCAACAAAAATTTTGAGCTCATATTCGAAATGAGCATAAAATTCTGCTTCTAATTCGATACTTATTCATTTCTTTAGACTCATTTAAACGATTGAAAAATGAGCGAACATTTTGTCCAAAAACTTTTCGATCATACGTTGTTTCAAGACAATACTATTCATGGTTGTGGTTTATTAGCTCGTAGTCTTATACAAGCACAACTAGTATCACCATTTTATACACCTGTTTATGCTACATTAGTATCTGTTATAAATAGAAAGTTTCCAGAAATTGGTGAATTAATTCTTCAACGTCTTATAATAACATTTCGACATACATATCAACGAAATGATAAAACTAATTCTTTATCAGCAATAAAATTTCTTTCCCATCTTATTGATCAAAATGTTTTACATGATAGAATTCTATTACAAATCCTTATTCTTTTACTTGAAAATAAAACAAATAATAGTGTTCAATTAGCTATTAAACTTATAAATGAATGTGAACAACAATTATCACAACCTAATCCACGTGAATTAGATTTGATTTTTACAACATTAAGAAATTTATTACATGAAGCATCTTTAGCAAAACATACACAATATATAATTGAAGTTTTATTTGCTGAATGAAAAGATCAATTTGAAACAAATTCGATTATACAACCTGATCTTGATTTAGTTAATAAATATGATCAATTTACACATATAATTACATTAATAGACACTTGTAAACCAGAAATAAATCTTAGTAAAAATAATATTTTTTATAAAAAAATTTAATTTTTTTTATTCTTCTTTAAGATATATTTAAATATGATGAAAAATATGAATTCATTCGCAAAAGAATCTTTGATGAAATAAGTGAAACTGAGGATAATTCAAATTCATCGGGTACAACTGAAAAAGATGAAATAGAAAGTAAGTAGACAATTTTTTATATAAGATACTCGTTTTTTTTTGTCTTAATATTTATTTCAAATCCAAACAAAATATTTAAGAGTCCTTTATTATTACGTAAAGGAAAAATATTTATAAGTTACGAATTAAATAACGAATTAATCGTCAACTAGGAAAAACGTTTATAGATCGATTTTATAGATTTGACAACTATTTAATTCTTTACTCGTCCAAAGCAAGTCCAGAGGAACCATTAATAAAATAACTATGCAAATAGAATATTAGTTTCTGATATGCCAATAATGTAGGCATATCCAGTGGATATTCTGTCAAACAGCTTGATTATTTCAGTGACCATTGAATAGAGAAGATAGATTAAACTATTTGACAAACTCTAATATTTTTTCTTTGATGACAGTATTAATTACACAAAACCACCATTTATCCTTTTGTGTTGAAATAATATTGAAAGCAAAGAATTAAACATAGGAAAACTATTTTAAAGAAGATATGTATCATGTATATTTTTAAACAAATATCTGACTTTCTTTGAGCCATAAAATAACTACGAAAGACATTCACTCAATGATAAGTTTTATTTCAACTTGTCATGTGGCAAAGTCTACAAAATATACATATACATTACTTTTGATTGTGCTCCGGTTGGCCAACACGGTCCATTTTGTGTCTTACTTTCTATATACTGTCAAGTTAAAATGCAGCTCTAATTCTCTACTAAGTCTTTACTCAGTCTGTCTCATACAAATTTTATTCTGAAAAAAAAAGTCTAAATGAATTTTGAATTTTTTCGTATAAAATAAAAACAATAATTAATCTTCTCGTTTTTTTACATGAAAAATTTCCAAGAATTTACAATGAAACTATACACTTATTATCATAGAAAAAAGTGAAATAAATTTTCCTAAATACATTTTATAGAATTTCCTTTTTTAATGTTAAAATTTACTTTCTTCAAAATTGTTATAACCTTCAAATTCTGGTATTTGATTCGACTAATTAATGGATATTATCATATAAGTCTGAATCGATTCTCATCTGCAGTTAACTATTTAGATCCTCCTGTTTCCCCAAAATAGTTATTTGTAGGTCGATTGCAGAAACTAAACGACGCTTAGAATTTTGAAAAAAAAATGTAAATTTTTTGAAACAATATTCTTTACTTATAGGGAGTGAAGGTCTTTCGGGCTTTCTATGTAATACAGACTGATCAATTGACCTATTAGTATATATTTCGCAAGCTTTATGATAACATAGAGATACACAGAAAATAAGACATACAATGTTCGATGTGATCACTATTGAGCAGATGAAACTCGATAAAGACCAACGTCTATGTGTCCTTTTGTAAACCCGGTCATATTATTTCTTAAAAAAAGACAAATGTTGATTGAAAAATAGATATCTTATTGTACAATACTTTTTATATCTTCAGTGCATCTATTTCAATGGGAAAGATGCGGTCTTTGTGTAATTAATACTGTAATCAAAATAAAAAATATTATGACTTTTCCAGTACTTTAGATCCTATTTCTTATTCTGTGGTTACAATAGTAACCAATCTATCCCACATAAAAGGCTGGGTATCCATTGGATATGCCAATACTATTGATATATAAGAGGCGTTAACAGACCATTTTATTTCTAGCTTTTCTACAACCGCTATGGGGAAGGTGGTGATAAACGATTAAATATCAACATTACATTATTTTACTTTTTTTGAACATCTCAATAGATAGATTATCTTTTCAATGATGAAACTTCTCCATCTATTATTTGTAGTGAAATGAAAAGAAAATAAATTCTCTGTCGATTTGAATCTTTCTAAAACGTATAAATTTTTAGATAGAATAATAAGATCTTTTTTTTCTTTATAGAAATAAAAAAAAATAAAACAACAAACAATAATTGATAAAAACGAAAACAAATTTAATTCTACTTCGTCGTAGAATTTGTTTTATAATTCATACAAGTATTAGTGCTGATGAATGTGTACATAAGTGTATTTTTTTTCTTTTTTTAAACTCGAAATTATATAAATAATCGTTTTTTTTTATTTAAAGGTTCTTGGTCGTATTCGTCTAACCGAAGATGTTACAACATCATCAGAAAAAGTTTTCATAAAAAACTTATTTATTGAATTATCTCAAATATTTGGTTTTGTACCAAAGCTGCCGACAGGCCATTGTTTTTTCAGCCTGGTCTGGCCGGCCTGCAGGCAAAACCAGGCCAAATAGTGCTTTTGATTTTTCAGCTTAGTAAATAGATACTTTAGCAATAATTTAAGACATCAGGTTCAGTTACGTATTTGATCCTTTATTATCAAATTAGTATGATTGCACGTCTTTGCAAAACAAAAGCGCATAATGAAAATCAACTCATTTTTATTAGTTTTTTTTCGATCAATAAATGCTAGTATTTAGAAAATATAACGATAAAGTTTATAGTGTTTCACCTACACAACAAAAATATACATCATAGCAAAAAAGGAATATACAATAGAATAGACATACACTTTATGGAAACTAATTTAGCAAATAAGACATGAGACAAATCACAAAAACGTAATATTTTTAAAGTCCCTCAGAAAGGATCTTTTTTTATTTTTCGCTGTAGTTCAACCGAAATCCCCGAGAATGTTAGTCTTCACTAGAATAGATTATGGTTAAAATATCTCCTTAAATCTGTGAGTTATTCACGAATTATTATCTATTTATTGGTCAAAAGTACCCTTAATGCGGGCAAAGCTTTTACAATCAGGACGCGAGCTCATAGTGGATCCATTTTAAAGTTGTAGAGTACCCTTGATGCTAGATCCTCATAGAGCCCGATTTTCGAAATTCTCTTTGTTTGTTTTATAGAATCTTTTCTCCGAAAACTTTTAGAATTCATGGCCAAAACGAAAACGCTAATATAATTGAGACATTTCAGGTTCTTATTTCACCAATAGAGATTTTCGAAGATCGAGCTCTGTGGGCATTTAACCCTAACCGCCTTCTATGTAATAGAAAAGCTTATCATTTTCATGTCGAGTCATTATGAAGAAAAACTAGACTGCGTAAACTGCGTGCTCGAAAAAAAACTGATTTTGAGAAAAACGGAAAATAAATATTAGAAACCCATTTTTTCGAAAATCATCTGATTTGTATATCAATGTTCTGGACAGACTATGAATTTATGATCTTTGTATTAAGTGTTCATAGTCTCACAGTGATTATTATTTAAAAAAAACTTTACGACCTGTCGATGAAAAGAGAAAGCAGCCTAAAAAGTCAAAAAAGCTTGAAAAATAACTGAACATTTCTCGAAAAATATGATAATATGAGCCAAGTTTAAGACGATAAATTCATCAAAATCAATTCATTTTTCGATAAAGCATAAATATTCTGAAAGATGAGAATTCTATGTGTCTTCCTATCATAAAACTTCAACCTCGACTCGTCTCCAAAAAATTAGATTTTTTTCGGAGCCTTCTCAAATTTTATCAACTTCAACATAATCTGAATCCATAGGATATTGTGCAGTTGTTCTGGATATAAACAAGACTTTCGACCAGTTAATGTAAGGCTAGTAATATTAAACTGTCATCTATACCAGCAGTAGTTGCTGGAATTGAATATATTTGTCTTGCCAAAATTGATAAAGCAAAATAATACAAATGAAATGACCCAGGCGACCAAGTTTAGCCTGGCCTACAGTTCTGTTTTGTACAATTAAATAATCGATTGAATGATGCGTAAGTTAGAAGAAAAACAAAAAATATTAGAAAATAATTTCTTCTTTTTGTCTATTATAGACCATTGAAATGTTACTTTGAAGGTCTTTTACCATCTGATAATGCTAAAAATATTCGATTTCTTATAGATTTCTTTACATCAATTGGTCTCGGACTATTAACGTGTTTCTAGAATTATTATGATTATTGAATTTGATTTATTTTTATTATAGTGATCAATTACTTAGATGTATATAATGATGACATCATATGTCATCTACAACAGTCAAACGACGATATGATAATTATTAGTGATATATTCTTTATTTTTTTTTGCTTTTTATATTAAAGAGAATATTTGAATAAATTTTTTTCTGTTTGGAAAAAATAAAATTTTTTTCGTTGAGAAAATAGATCAATGTCTAATATAACAAAACAGATATTTCGATTAAAAGAAGTTTATTTTATGAAGTATTTATTCCATTTGAAGTAAAGCATTAAAAGATAAAAACCTATAAAAAGGAATAAGAAAAAAAATTTCATTGATAGAATGTTCACCATAAGTAAGCACTAAATGTAGTATATTTCATGATTAAGTATTGTAATTACGAAATAAGCAAGCTTTTGTTTTTTTTGAAAACAATTATTATTAATATTTTTTTTTGTTAACTTTCATAGCACCACCTATGAAATAGTAGCCTGGTTTCCAGCTGGGATCTATGTGAATCTCAAACTGAAAAAAACAACAACAATGTGAAAAATTGCGATTAGTTTAATGAAGCTTCGGATAGAGTACAGGAGATAAACAGAGAATCGAACGATTTTATCTATATTTATTGTATCTTTTATTATTTTCCATTCTTTTGACGTTTCAAAAACAGATCGAAATATCAGTCCTTATGAGTATTTCTGCTCATTGTATTCCATCAACAACAACCGAATTTAATTTACTGATGTCATCAACATATTCTACTAATTTTCGCCACAGTATATCCAAATCGCTGGAGTTCGTACGGATTTCAGATAGTGATATGAGGATCAAAAAGTTAATTAAATGCGATTTCATATGAGAAATTCGAATGTGAACTGAGATTTTTCTCTAAATATTAATATTTAATATTTAATATTTTTTAAATCAATATTTAAGATAGGGCTTTTGGCTTCATCGAGCATGGTCATACTCTCGAAAAGTTTCTTTTTTTGTAATGTGAACGTACAAGGGAGGTATCCGAAGTGTTATCTTGACTTTGAGCTCATGTTTTGTCCACAAGTAGACTTTAGTGCCATTAGTCAAAGCTTAAAAGAATTCGTACCCATAGGCTGTTGGAGTCAACTTATGATGGTTTCATTGAATTCTCGATCTGAGATAAAGCATTCATAAAAAAATTGAAAGACAGTATTTTGATCTGAAATTGTGCCCGTAAAGAGGTGTCATGCTCATTAGAATATCATAGAAGTACCAGCAAAATGTATGTTTTATCCTTAAGATATTGGATGTCCGAAAAAAATCGAACATATGTCGCAGAGAAGTAAAAAGTGCAACTGATATTTGGGATGTGGGTGTACGCTTCTAATCATACTCACAACTCACACCTACCCTCATATTTAATATTTTTTAATAGCATCTCCTGCACAATATCTTTATTTCAATCAAAAGTCTGTAATTGAAAAAAAAATACTAATACTTACACAAATATAAAAAAAATAAAAATAAAAGCGTGTATACAATAAAATAATTAAAAACAATCAAAACATGTGTACACAATACAATAAAACTATAAAAATATCGTCTATACAGTAAAACTAGAGAAAATAATTAGAATCTCTCTAGAATTAAAACAGTCTATAAAATAGACTTACCATAATGAAAAAAATTTAAAAAATAAAACATAAAAAAACTAAAAATTTTTCTTCATTATGTCGAGTTTGTTTAGGATTGAAATTTTCATGATACAGTTTAATAAATCTAAAACAAAAACAAAAAAATAATTTATGTAAAGAATAACTCCGTCGTGTCATTGTGTCGATACATGTGTCGGTGACGTATCCTATTGACATGGGACGTGTTAGCTCTGTTCTAATTTTTCTAACAACTTCATTGGTTAATGCAGCATTATATTGTTCAGTCTGTTTGGAGCTATATATATATAAATACATATAGCACATCTGAAACTGATATAGATATTTTTCTTTTAATTGATATTCTACGTCATTCTCAAATACTTTATTATTCTCATGATGAAAGAAACAATACGTGAAAAACTTGGCAACAATTATTCAACTTTAATCGTTGATGGAAATTCGACGGAGACCACGAAAACAATCAAACTACAGCTCAAAAAACTATCTACAAAAAACCGTCGAAAAAAAACAAAAAAACCATACTTAATGATATTTTATTTCGAAAATGGAGGTAAATGAATATGGAATAAAAATACCAGTTTTTCTATTTTATTTTCTATTATTTAGATGTTTCTGTCTCACCACCTCGTCGTCGTCTCCGTCGTAATCATAAGCAATCAACAGAGAATAGTCATGATGCTGAAACAATGAGTAAGTGTATGAATATGCGATTTTTTATTCAGATTAGTGCTGAATTTTTTATAGGCGAGTGTCGATAATCTACTTTGATAAAGTTAATAGAAAAGTTGAACATTACCAAATAGTTTTGTGTTTGAGAAGTTTTGGATAATAAAATATATTAATGAGTTTGTAAAAACTGCTCTGTTATAAGAAACATTCGTATTTGAATATCTAACATCCATATTGAGTAAAGAGGAAAGAAATTTGAGTTATGCGTTTGTTTTCGATAAGATGCATAATTATAATGGATATTAAGAATTCATATTTTGTTTTAGCATCACTTCATGATCATGCATCATCAATTGATAGAGCAAGCTCAAATGAAGTCATTAAAGATGTTGATTTGTAAGTTGAATTGATTCATAAAAATTTTTCTTCAATTTAAAAAAAATATATATATTAGGAATTTTATTAAATATTAAATAATACATTTACGATAATACTAAGCATACATCAGTTCATAATATTAGATTGTAGCGGGAAAAAAATTCCTCTTTCTGTTCTCCTAGATGAAACGTTTTATCATCTTTACTCTTTCAAGTACTATTCCAATAATGTCATTTTTTTTTGTTTTTAAAAATATCATTAAAAGAAAATTTTATAACTTTTTCTTATCATCAAATATATTTTTCTCGATTAAACCTTTCGTTACTAACTTATAGGAATTAATATCAAATGTGAAAACAAGGATATGAGAACCGATTTAGAAAGTACTGATACAACAAATTAATTAATATTTTTTTTTTTAATTAATTTTCTTTTTACATCTGAAAAATCTTTGTGCATGCTCCGTATAGGATTAGAATGTGGGACTATTGTTGATTCACAAGCCTTTTATTAAGCATTGTGAACTTATATTTTCTCTGGTCATCCATGTAACGAAAATGAATGTTTTACACCATTAATACCTCATACCCGATGAAGTTCAGTAATATCTCAAAAATAAGATTGTCGATTAGGTCGAGCTGTCAATTAGATATGTATTGGTTGATGTGTTCATTTTAGTTATTTGAATGACCAGAGAAGACATATATAAACAATGTTGGATTAAAACTACTTGTACGAATTCAACAGGTTTTTTCAAAAGAAAAGTGTGATCTTTTTGAGAAATATTTTTACGCGATGAGAAAAAACAAGACAATAAAAGAATTTTTCGAATCGAGACAATTTATACAAATCTTTCTTTTATTTAGTGCGTTGAATAATTTATATTGATTTCTGATTGAATTTTTATTTGTTGGATGCCATATGAATATTATAGATATCGTATAAAAACTTTCCTACAACTACAAAATAGGTAATTAATTGTGACATACTATATCGTATGTACATAAAAACAAAGAATTGTAATTGACCTCATTGAACTCAAGAATTAAGAAATAGGATTTATTAAAAGGTTAATACATACGAGAATATATCTATTAAAATTATTTTTAAATTGAATTGAATGATCTCGAATATAAGAACTATTCTGTAAAAACAGTGAACAGGAAAAAATCCTAGGTATTTTTGTTTTTTGATCAAAGTACAATGTGACCTATTGATGATTCATATCAGTTCGAGTGTGTTAATGTTCTTTTAACATTAATCATTGTTATTCACTTAAAAATTTAGCTCAGTATTCAGATTATCATTTAACAAGTAAGGCTAATCTTTTTTTAAGATCTTGCCTAGGTTCAGTTATTTTGTGCCAATATTTTATTTTTTTTGAGAAAGCCTTTTTGAAAGACTTCTTCACTATTTCTGTAATCGTTGATCTCTCATGCCATTAAATTCATGATCAGATGCATATTTATAGAAAATAATAATTTAGTTTTTATATTTAGTTTAGGAAATAATACTTTGATTAGGAGAATAAAGAAACGCTCGTTTTCATAAAAAAGATTTAGTTGAAAATATATGCTTTTACTTGAAAAAAAACGCATGTTTCATTAACTAATATTTATTCTTAAAATTTAATTATTCTTTTATATAAGATAGACAAGTCTTTGTAAATGTAAAATTAAAATTATGCTTTCTTTTAAGTAATCAATTTATTTTCTTCTTCAGACTAAACATCAATGCACATAATATATCATCATATACAGAAGAAAATAGAGATAAAACAATTATTCAAATAACAACAATAAAAAATGATTCATTTGTTGATCATCAATTGAAGTCAATCAGTGATAATCAATGTTTCAATGATATTGTACCATTTAGTGACTTATCAAATGCCATTTTATCACATAATCATCTTCATTACAATATTGATAAATTGACGATTAAAGATATTGCACCAGATAATAATCAATTAAAAGATATTAATATTTTACCAATTAATGGCTGTTCATCTAATGATAATTCATTATTAGATGATAATGTTGCCGAATCTCAAGATGATACAGAAAATGAAAATAGTTTGACATTACCTAGTCTTATAATGAAATTACAAAAAGAAAGAAATCAAGTAAAAGAAAAGATTGATTCTCAAATTGAACAAGCTGCTGCTGAATTAAAAGAAATCAGTAATAAACTTAATGAGTTAATTCAAGCAAAAAAGAAAAATGAAGAATATATGAATAAAATCAATGAATTGACACAACGGAAAGAAAAGTAAATATATAACAAGTAAAACAAATACAAAATCGTAAGTTTATTGCTAATGATAAATAATGGTAAATAATTATTATTAGTTGATATTTGAAAAAAAATAATCATTCATTCAATAACATATTTGATTAATTTTTAATATTTTTTATTTTCAGGTTGTCCACGGTGGAAAAAGAATTATGTGAAGCTTTCGTTGTTTTCGGTTTTTGCAAAGCTTTTGTTTGTTAATTTATCTATTTCTTTTTTTGTGATTTTTTCTTATATATATATAATTAGATGTCTAATAAATAAATGATCATTTGTGTGAATATAATTCAACAAAAAACTTTCTTCGTCAGATCTTTAATGAAAATATTCTAAGAGTGATTTTAATACATTTTTGAAATATTTTATTTTAAAAGACTAAAGTGTTAGTATTCTCAATTAAATGAATAGTCGAAAGAATTTAAAACAACTATTAATGGCTGTGAAAACTGAGTCTTTATACATTGACAGAAGTTCTGAAAGTTGAATTAAATGTGAATGTTTTTTATATAATAATAATAATGATCAATTCTTACTTATTATTGAGTAGGTATGTTTTATTCATCTTCTATAAATGTTTTAATTGATTATTTTACAAGTTATTGGAGAGAATATTTATCGAATATAGTCTTTCCACAATTTAAATGCTTACAAATTTTCTCCATTAATTTTTTGCTGATGAAAGATCAAACGTATGTTGAATAAATAGCATGTTTCGCATTCGAAAATCTATCCATGAACAAGTCACATAGATAGTGTAGACATATTTGATTTTTATAATCTTGGTTCTGACAAGACATTACTCAACGAACAAGAAATTTTATTGTAAATTAAGTAAATATTTCATAAAATTAAAAATAAGAAATAAAAACTATACTCATTCAAAGTTAATATATTACAAATAAATATGATAGCATTATGATTAGAGATATCAAGAGATTACTTTATTTTGTTTGGTTGATGTGCAGGTATCTCATATATATATATATATGTATATATAGACTCTTTGTAGTAGATTTGTAATGCTGTTGGTTCAGCTAGTTTGAGACACAAATATTCTTTAAATCGAATCTCAGTTATTCTGTACATTCAGTTTTTGTCAATTGTTATAATGAAAATGACAAGATCTTTCACTAGATAGAAAAAATGAGACACTAAGCACTTCTTAGAAAATATTGTTTTATCTACATGAAAAACTCTGTAAGTTAAAACATTTTTTATTTTCATCATCAGTACTTTATGAACAATTAGAATCACGTAAAGCTATAAACTAATTGATGAGCAACATACACTGTGAAGATCGATCACAAAAAAAATTTCTTACTAATTATTAGCTGAGTGATCTCAATTTGAATTAAGTTAATAGTTCGCTAAATTTTTTAATTATGTCTAATTCTTCTGATGTGTAGTGATAAACTTAATCAGAGCTATAAGACACTGTAAATTTGCAAACAAACTACATAATAAATAAGCATTCGATGATGATGCAAATGAAGTATAATGGAATTCAAAATCTTATATTATATATATTTATAGAATTATATAATATAATTATAATAAGCTTATTAGTGTCTGGCAGGACCGACTAGGATCTCGACATGAGTGTCGCAATACGATTTACATCACATCTCTCTTGGTGTGGATGTCGTGATACTCTGACAGCCTCTAATAGAACACGATAAGTCCGGGTAGACATTACCATATGAGAATAAATTTAGTATATTTATATATAGATATATAATATAGAACTTTTGAATTATTTTGTACTTCGTTTGTCTCATGAACTCGACTAACAACAAATAGTCATACATGTGGTGAAAAAATTTAATCAGAAATAAAATTTATCATCTTCTTCAGAATCATCTAAATAGCATGGATACACACATAGCACAACAAATTAGAATCACAATTCAAGAACGCACGACGAAAAACAATTAGTTTGATTGAATACATACTTGAAAAATAGTATGACTACATTGTTGAACAATCCCAGGCATGATCGATGTCAATTATATTTGAATATTATCATAATCTGTATAATTTGCATCAGTATTAATCTACTGATAATATGTTAGTCGTTTGAAATATTCGATCAAGTAATTTCATAATCAATTCTTCGAATTTTACTGTCGATTAGCAAACTTCTTTCTCAATCTATAGTAAAAGAAACGAATACATACTTTGTTTTATTGTATGTCAGATGTATTTATTCAAAAGTAAATATTTAAATGTTACCTCGGTAAGATCATCTCGAATGTCTATTGCAGATGAACAGTCAACACAGATGATTTGAATGCAAATAGTACCGAGAAGATCTAATGTTATCTTTGTTTTTTTAAATTATTTAAATCAATACTAAGTAAAATTGATAGAAATAATGATATTATATATGTTTGTCTTTGAGAGTACGAAGGTGTTTGTCGTACTAATTGACGATTTATACGTGTTAAACATTGTATGAGTGATATAAAACGATGTGCTTCAGTTGTATTGTCCATCAGCAAGAAAAGACTAATCAAAGAAAATAAAATGCTATGTTTGAAGACAAAAAATTAAATCATATATCGAATTTGTCAATAATAGATAGAACGATAAATTCTAGGCGAAGTATCGATAAATATTGGCAAGCTTCAGCTGCTTCTTTACTATAATTCTTATTAAAAATTGACATAAATACATAGTCTTTAATACAATTAACAAAATTGGTGATATCACCTTTAGTAATTCGATAAGATTTTTGTGCTATGAAATATTAAAGAGGAGAAATTTTACGTTCTCTACAATATTTTCAATAATTAATGAATTCTTCTTTTTTTTTGCTTGTCATACAGACAATGGTTATGCTCACAAACGAACTCGATTAATAAAATGTTGAGCGAGATGTAAAACAAATTCGACAAGTCGTTTTTGAAAATTTCCTCTATTCAATGGATAGTAGAAAGTTTTTATAGCAATGAATAGATCGTGTAAATATTTCAGATATAAACTTTTATGACTAATCATGACAATGATTCATTTTGTTACACTTGTCATTGAATAAGGATATTTGTGTGTTGATATTAGTATTTTTCCAATCGGCAATGGCAATCTACGTAGAATACGTGTAAAAATCTAGTGAAGAAAAGAAAAAACGAAAGAGATTTTTAATAATGACAACAATTAAAAAAGAATTCTGCCACCTGTTCTAACCACGGATCTCAATCGATATAGCCAATGTTAGGTCAAGTAAATCGTGCAAAAAGCTCAACAAAACTCTAAATTTAATCAACCAATATAAAGGAGTCCAATACAGTACTAAACTTACTGATTCCCATTCGGTATCATTATGAATACTTTCCCAGATATCGAAAAACTCCAATAGCCATAATCTATTACAAAAAAAAGAAATGTTACCAAAAAATGAAGACGCAAAGAACTTAAGAGAGGGTCCGCGAGAGAACCTACCAATTTTATGTGGAGCCGGTACCACTCAAAATTTAGATTTTCGATTTGCTATTCTGAAACGATGGACTATGATTAGAAACTTATAAATCCAAAATATGAACTCTTTATACTTCTTCTGTAAAAAGTTTTGAATTACACAATGTGACGCCTCGTTTGATCCTTGGTCAAAAACCGGATTTTTGGAATGTTCTCGGTATTTTAAATTTTTCTCTGCAATCACTCGTCCGTTTGAGTCTGGAGACATCTCAAAAGATGCAGAAATGTTTTCTCTACAAAACTGGTTAACTGAATCATTTTTACAAGGTACTTTAATAATACATAGTTTCAATATACAAGCAAAAAGTGCGATTCGGTTGTGCAGCAATTTTCTAATATTTTGCATATTATTATATCTTGACTCGCTGTCCGAAAATATTTTTTATATTTTCTGAAAGCCCTTGACATTCTACATCTTTTGAGTCATTACTCAAATGTTTCCAATTCTGTTAGAGACGGTTTCCTTAATAACGACGGGAAAATTTTCACATCTTTCGTTTGATTCCGTTCTCACTCATTTTACATTCGACTGAAAATATTTTTATATTTGGATAATCCTTGGAGTCTCCTCTTTCGAATGGTATGATCGCGGCCTCTCTACATCGTACTGTGGTGGAGATATCAGCGGTCTGCGATCGGGGACTCCGTCCGTCGTTATTTGGTGCAGTTTCCTTNATTTCACTAAAGCCACTTACGGAAATTCATAAATTTGAACATCTTTTAGCAACAAAAATTCTTGTTTCAACATTAATAGCTATTGAATAGTAATTGAACTAGTGTGGGTCATTTCGTAGTAACAATAATCGGTGATAATATCATTTAACCTCTACTACTCATGTATCAACAAAGAGTCACTCTCAAAATAGAATTTTGTTTTGCTATGTGATGTTCAAATCTAGGTTTGTTCAATTAGTGATTTTAGCGACATGTAAGAAAGATTGCTATTGCGCAGCGTCAGTGTTTGATCAACGAGAGCATATTATACCTATAGATTGAGTACTGGTCTAAATACACAGAAGATGACAATGTGAACACAATAACACTGTTGTTCTTTTGAATAAAAAACAGCTCAAAAACTCTTTAAAAGTGTATGCATATTATGTCTAGTTATAGTTCTTGAAGTTTTCCGTAGATTTCTAATAGGAATTTTTATTTGAAATTAAGTTCTTAGATATTTTACTACGCTGTATTACAAATACATTGTAGCAGAGTTTCTAACAATTCAGATACAAAAGTATACGAAAGAGTTTCTATATAAATTTGTCTATTATATGAACATTGGCATAGAATTGTTTTTCTTCCACAATTATTTAGATCCGTAGTAAATGAATTATAAAATCTTCTTTAATTCATTCTTTATCACAGCTCATTTCTAGCTGAGTCATAAAACATAGCTCAACTTTAAGTTGTGCTGGGTTAAATCAATGGACAACGAACATATAACGACCTAATCTACCGCATTTGCCATAATAGATACTTTCTGAGTTCATGTATGTAGCGGAA